ATATGTAAGAATTTATATAAGTTACAAGGACTTTTTGCAATATTGTGATTCCTATGTTCCCAACCTTTTTGGCAACATCACTCACTTTTCCATGGAAAAATTTTCCATCACCCACCCATATAGTAAATATGTAAAAGCATACCAAAATCATTTGGTAAATGTGTTACTGGTTTGTAAATGGAAGTAGTAAAAAAAATACCAAAGTGAGGTAACAAATAACACTGACTTATGTGGTGGCTGCTGCTACTACTATCATATTAAAGACTAAACGAAATCAAACTTGACCATTGAAATCTATATATATTTTTGTTCATATTAATAAAATTAAAAAAAAAATATACACTAATAGCAACTAATAAACAATCAGCAAAAATTTGTTGTTATATCTAATACTGAAGAACTATTTGAATGTTAATGACCCTTCTCAAAACTATAGAAAATACTAAAATATTCTTAGTCTGCAGGTGCATTTACATCTTATCTAGAAATGTAACTCAGTTATTCTGATTTATCCTCCTTCTTTGGGTTTTTTATACAGGTTCTTTGCATATCTCCTTTGAATATTTTTTCGGGGGTAGTTATGTTGAAATAAATTTTTCATACTCAAAATTCTATATCACCCACCATTTTTTGTATGGTTGCTCATTGCCCAGGTTGGGAAATCCTGCTGAAACATTGACCAGCATCAGTATTGTTTTTTGTTTTTCATTGTCTCAGATTTTGTAAACCAATTTATTTATTGTATTTTTGCACTCTTAATCTGCAAAATGATTTTCATTAAAAAGATGTATATAAAAAATAAGCACTTTGTTTTGTTTATAAAAGGAAATAATATTTTTCACAATAATTATTGATGTATTAATTATTATTTGTTTTAAATAACAGGAGTCTTTTTTTTTTTTTTTTTTTTTTTTAAATACATCTTCTTACAAAGAAATTAATTTATCCAAATTTATACCTGTATAAATTTTATAATTGATGAATATTATTAGTGTATCATCTTCAAGATCTGCAGGACAAGTTCTTTGTTACAAAAATGTTTGCAAACATCACAAGGGCTAAAAACTGCATTAAAAATCCAAGAAACACAAGAATCCCAAATTAGGAAAAAAAAACAAAAAATAACCCAACTATATGGACACTTCAGAAGACAGAGCAAATGATATATAAATCCACATGGATGTAGCTACATAGGGAAATCTTAAGCTACTCTTAATAGTGGCACAAAATGGTGCCAAAAAAGTAACTATATTAAGGCCAAGATAAATGAAACGCAGGAGAACATAAAATGGGTGGGTAAGGCAATCTACTGCGATCTGTGCAAGCAAATATATTTTGTACATACAAACTAATAGTATATAGAGTGACCAGAATATGTCCTGGAGAATGAAACACAAAATCTTCTGGGATTTTAAATCAATCACCCAATCCAGGTCAGAAGACTTAGTCTGATAGTTATAAACAAGAAGGGAATGTGCCAGAATATGGAATTCTCTATTTTGGCAAACCATTGAAAAGCTAAACAAGTACCTCAATGTTGCCAGAGAGCTAAGCAAGTTGTGAAAGATGATGGCAACAGCCATGCCAATTGTTATATTCACACACAGATGTGCAGCAGAAAACAACCATAACAAATCAATTAGAAGAGATTTTAGAGAGTTTTTGGATATTGAAGAGACTTGCTGTCACTTGCTCTCTGGTGGGAGAACCAGTCACTACTGATATGAAAGGTCAATGAGAACAATAAAAATTATCATCATCATAGTACCTATCAAAATCACATAGGCCCCCCTCTGCATAGTACAAGTGTTGTATCTATGCACTCTGTAAAATGTTACACATATATGTATATAATACACACACACACACACACACACATATATATATATATATATATATATATATATATATATATATATATATATATATATATATATATATATATGTTATAATAGATAACAGCTCAGAATGAGAAATTAGAGAGCCAAGTTTGAATTCCAGTCGAGTTCGTTACTTTGACTCATCTGAAATGTGGCACACAGTGTACCAATACGGGGACTAGGTGTTATGATAGTGTGCAGTTTAGGGCATAAGCAACTAACCACTTTAAACAATTCACTTATGCAGGTTGTTTGGTAAAAACTTAGAATTTACTGAAATTTCACAATTTAATATTTTATTGGTCTGGAATGCGTCCAGGAATTTTGCGCACATGATTTTTAGTATCCTTCTTATTATACCCAATGTCCCTATCTGAACAGGGATAATTCTAGTTTTAAGTTTCCACATTTTTGTTACTTCAATTTGCAGGTCCTTATAATTTGACTGCTTATGAAATTCTTTTTTTTAGAAACATTGGAATCTTGTGAGCAAGTTATATCAATTAGTTGGCAGGTTCCTTTTGGGAAATCTTTTATGACTGGTCTATTTTCATCAATTTCCATGTCTATGAGAAATGGGAAATTCCACAGTATAGTCACTCCATTACCATTATGTTGTTGCTGTTATTATTATTATTATATACAGTTCAATAACATTCAAATCCATTTTTTAATATGCAACATGGTCCATCTGGCAATAATGTTGATTCTTTCCAACTAAGTTGATTAACATTTAGAGTATATTTTTAAATTGATCATCTTGAACATATATACTTGTAAAATCTATAACAGTGAGAGTATAAATGCCTCAATCTATAAGTATATATAGACAGGGATATTTGTACACTTGGCATTGCAGATTTTACAAGTACATAAATTGGTTATAATTGCTATTATTTATTCCCAGGTTCATATATAGGTTGCATTTATAACATTGAAGAAATTGACTTTTCAAGACAAACCAGAACAATGAAACCAACAGGTATTACCCTAAGAGTTATTCTATCTATTTCAAGCTCTTATTGTTGTTTTTGCTTTTATCAAAAAATATATTTGTCACTATTCTTTTCTGTTTGTTTTTCAAGAAAAAATAAAACATTTATTCTTATGGATTATCTTTCAAAAAAGGCTGTAGAATGAAGCTGCTGAAAAACGTTTTTTTCTGTCCACTGCAATTAGGTTTCCTTCTGATTCACTGTACGTGTCGGCTGGATGTGAACATTAGGAAAGCAAAACACAAAATAAAAAAAGTTGTTTTCTGTGCAGGGGCTCTGAGCAACACATCTGGTCCAGAAAATAAATCCTTGCAATAAAATGCAATAGCCAATCATGAATGTTTCTGCCAGAAAAAGAAAGATGACCCTGAGGATCACAAGATTTGCTTAAAAGAAAGCCCCCCCACCTCGTAACGACCAACACAATAGCAGGCTGAAAGACCACCTGTCAGCATGCAAATGCACTGTTGACCTCAGTGGCATGATCACCTCTCTTGTCACAACTGTGACCTCACTAATTGCACCATTAATCTCATCCAACTCTTCACTTACAGAATTTGGCTGACAGATCAGATTTGACACCACCAACACTGTGATTTCTAACACCTCAATGTCGTTACAATCCAGCTTCAGGCCTCCCTCATTGTCACCACTGTGACCCTGTTCATTGATAATACATTCAACCAGAATCTAACAGAGATATTCTGATTGACCCACTCCAAGCCTCCCTTGTCGTCACCACTATGACCCCGTCTATTGATCTCCGATTTGATCAGAATCCCACAGAGACCTTTCACTCATTTACATTCACTATCTACATCTAATCCCTCATTGCCACTACTGTAACCTTGACAACCAGCACACCTTACCAAGAATCAACCAACCACAGCGCCCTCAATTGTAAAAAACCACCAACCCACTTTTCAGGTGTCGATTTCAACCATGAAAAATGGTCTCTCTCAAGCTCCACCAATTGCTAATCTGCACCAAACCTATCCTCTGACCTGTAACCTTGGCCAAGCAACCCAAGAAATCGGTTAACAACAACACCCTTACATCTAATAGCTTTCCAATAGCAATTGAAGAAACATACATGAACAATCTTTGCTAAATTTGAAACAACTACAGTGTAACCCGGATATAAGAGAGTTGTCGGGACTGGAAAAGAAGTCTCTTATATCCGGGTTTGGTCTATTTTATATACATTAACACAGGCTCTAATTTGGGACCAGAGAAAATCTCTCTTATATCCGGGTTTCTCTTATATCCGGGTCACACTGTATATATACATTATATATATTTGACGAATGCACAATGTTGAAAATTTAATCCTTGTTTGTTCCTTTCCAACCAAATGCTCATTATAACATGGAAAATTTCTTAAAGAAGGCTGTAGAATGATGCAGCTGAAAAACTGTGCTATACCAAAAGCCCCCCCCCTCCTGTTAAGAAAAAAAGTTCAATAGGTTAAATAATTTTTCAAATAACAATAACTCTCCTCAAAATTAAGATAAATTAATATTTATTTGTTTTTCCAGAAAGTTATGTAGTTTATTTTTCTCAGGAATAATATATATTTTACCTCAATATATGTTTAATTTCAGTGTTAAATTGTGCCATGATTTTTAAAATAATTATTGATAGTTTTATAAAAATAACAATAAAACCCAAATACAAATAAAATAACAACATAAGGCAAATGCCAAACAGGTCGCTTGAATGGCTCAAGTAAAGAGTCGGATGAAAACACAAACCAAAAATACTTATCATTTTTGTTGTTATAAAATTTAAGAAAAAAAAATCTTATTTCTAATGATGATTTGATATTTTTTGCAATATAGTAAGATTTGAATTTTAGCTACAGTTTCTCTAAGTAAATTTCATGTTTAAGATGCTTGAAAATAATTAATGTTAAAAGGATCAGAAAGGCAATCATATTAAAAATAAACCAAAATATTACAAAATTCAGAGTATAAATTGAAATTATCATATAAACATACTATAAGTAAAACTTAATTTAAATTCATTTTCATGCAAATATTTTTAAATGTTTATAAAAAAGATATTCCAAGATTCTTGTTTTGACGTCTTTTGAATTGTGAGATTCCTCCAAAAATCAAATTTCTTATGCAGGTTCTCGAACGGTACTAAGAACTTTCTCCAGTTTGGCAATTTCTTGTTGTTCTCGTGCTTGTTTATCCAAAACTGGTCGGCCTTTCTTTTCCTTTGTAAAAACAAAAAAAAAAAAAATAAATAAAAATAAATAATTTAACTTGTCTTAATTAAATATTTCCAGGATGGCATAATTATCCATAAAAATAACATATTAATGGTGTAAATTTATCCACAAAATTGGATTAAGGCCACAAAGATTAAAAATGGATCTACTTTTGACAACGTAATCAAACTTTACTGTGACTGAATAACAATTTGAAAGCCTTTTTCAATCAGATAGATTAACATGCCTTTATTTCCAAAAATAACTCTGTTGATTGTTATAAAAAAAACCCAAAAAACACAAGTATTCATAAATAAAAAATATGTACTGTATTTGATGGCATATAAGATGCACAGGTTTATAAGACACAAAAAATTAGTAATTAATAAAATTATTAGTAAATGGTAGAGCCTAGGCTATATTTATGAGGTATTATTTTGGTTAAACAAGCCATGATTACAATTAAATGAAAAATAATAGGAAAAAAGAACACGAGCCTATAAAAACTTTATTATATTCAAAGGTAAGAAAACAAAATAAAAATCAAGTAATTACTACAATTGAGCAAAAGAATATAGCTACCATTAAAATTTTATTCATCTTCAAATCCATAAAATTCGTCATCTTCATTATCAAAACTCTGATACTCATTTTCAATACTACTATCATCATTGTTAAATAATGCGTCATCTTCCATTCCATTGAGAGCATTGCTAATGCCACACTTTTAAAAGATTTCACAACAATTTCTGGTCTAATATTATCCCAAGCTTACTTCACCCATTTGCAGACTTGTGCAATACTGTGTTTTTTTTATTCTGCCTGTAAGTGTAAGGTCATGATCAGGCATTGCCATTCATGTGTCCCATTCCTCCTTCATGTTTTGCTTGAATGGTCTATTCCAAGACACATCCAGAGGTTGAAACTGACTTGTTAGTCCACCAGGAATAACCACTATCTCTGTATTCAATTCTACCACTTTTTTTTTTTAATGGATTCAGTCCTATACACTCAGAACTGATCCCAAACCAGAAGAGAGGGCTTTTGTAATAGTCCACCAAGACGTCTTTCCCATACAACTCATGGCCATAACTGTATACCAGCTTCATCCATCCAGCCTTTTGGATGAACATGAACAGGCACACCTTTTTGGTATTTTATATTTTGGTGTAGTTTTTCTCTTAAAAATCAGAAAAGGAGGCAGTTTTGTGCCATCAGTGCAACATGCAAGAATGACCATATAATGGATCTTCTCATGGTTTGTCATTTTTATTGTAATAATCTTGGATCCCTTAACACTCATAGTTTTGTTTGGAACATCAAATGCTAGCAGGATTTCATCCATATTTCCTATCTGGTCTAGTTCAAAAGGAGTTCTTTTTTGACCATGTATAACAAATTTATGAAACTTTACTATTTTGTCATCATAGTCAGCTGGTATTCTCTGCACAATTGATGTTTTGCATGCATTGACAAACCTTCTTGTTTCATAAAATCATCCTTCTGTTCTTATAAAGTTTTGAATCCCCTTTTTGTTTTCTAATCTTTTAGTCTTGTTCCTTATCATTTTCATAATAATGATTCTGCCTGTACTTCTCTCATCTAGAACCCACACGTTAATTTCCTCTTAAATTTCAGACCAGTGTGGTGCTGGATGGCAATGGTTACAGTTTCCTTTCTTTGCTGCCCATAGGTTATTTTCCTGCAACTGCCAGTAACTTATTATTTTTTATGTAGGTAGAGGGCCAAAGGCAGCTGCTCCATTTCCATGCTCTTTAGCATAGTTTATTACATGAAGCTTGTATGCTACAGTGTAGCTTAACTGCTTTCTTGCTGTTTTCATATCTGAAGGAGTGAAAATCAGTCAAAAATTTCCTTTATATGATCTGTACAATCTTGTAAACGTCTTAGTGGAATAATTAGGATATAAAAATTCTGATTATATTTATACCAATACATCCGGAAGTTATCACAAGAAAAATATTAATGAAACAAATATATTTTAAAAATATATAATTTGAATTTATTGCATATTATTTTAGTGAAACAAAGTACTAATATTAAGTGTGATGAAATTAATATAATGAATATTATCAATGATAACACATTTTAATCAGCATAATAGCCTTTTAAATAATGACAATAGGTATATGAAAGTTACTCTAAAGTCTAAACTAATAGGAGTTGCCAGGTAGCTAATTTCGTTCGACTATCACAAATTTTAAACCTACATATGGCATATAAGATGCAGGGGAATTATAAAAGATATTTTTAGCAAAAAAAAGTGTGCTTTATACACTGTCAAATACAGTATATATCAAATCTATTTTCTTTTGAAAAGAGAATTCAATTTAGGGAAAATAACAAGCAACATAATTATATAAAGGCAACAATTTCAAGGCACTGAAATGAATAAACATATACTTTATTAAGTTTCCAGTTTTTTTACTGTGAATTCAGTATCTTGTTTTCAAAAAAGATGGTGCTGGGAACTTGCAAATTTCATAATTTTTATTCTAGTTCATCTTGCATTATAACATAAAGGGTTATAATGCAAGATGAAATAGAATAGAAATTATGAAATCATCATTCCAAATGATTTCCCTAAGTCTCTAACAATCATCATTATTGGTTTAGAATGATTTCATATCTACTGCCGAAAGAAAAAAGAAGAAAAATGCTTGTGAAATGGATTTAAATGATAATATATTTAAAAAGAAAGAAAAAATTTAATTCCTGACGTTGCTAAAAGGTAATTTTTTTCTTTAAAAGAGCACTACTTAAATAGACTAAACCAGTTATAATTATTATTTTTTTTTTTTGTGTGTGTGTGGGGAAATAATTTTTGTACATTTTAGCATTCTTACAACCTCTGGCATTTGTCAAAATAAAAAAAATATTCATTTTTTTTTGTCATTTTAGAAGAGGGGGTCCTGTTCATAATATCAACAGTGTAAAATAAATCCCTGACTTCTTATGGTTATCTGAATTTAGCTGTTTGTTTACAAACATCAGGTTTTGAATCTGTTCTTAATTCATTGATATCTGCATATTTATTTCTGAATTTAAAAAAAAAAAAAATTTCATATATATATATGAAATTTTTTTTTTTTTTTTTTTTTTTTTTTTTTTTTTTTTTTTTGGTGGGAACTTTTTCAGGAGTACATGTCCAAACAGTGAGAGATAAAAATTATTTATATTAAATGAAGAACAAACAGGTATATACTTTTATTAATTTATATAAATTTGAAAATTCAACCCCTCTTTAATACTGACTATTCTTCAAAAATAGTTGGAGAATTTGACCTTCATTTGTGAGCCAATGTTCCTCACAGTTGATTCAATGTAAGCCACTGATGATTCTTTTCTAGCTTCATAGTTTTCACATATTCTTTGTATAATCTTTGTTCCTGTTGCTTGAAAAAACAGTTACCTCTTGTAGATTGAGTTCTCTATCATTCTGGCCCGAACAATTATTTTGCAGTTAGATGGTGTTAAATTCTGTCCATGTCTCATGGCTGCCAAACTTACATTGTCATATCTACACTAACCCTTTGCCTATTACAACAGACATGTCTCATCTAGCTGAGTTCATTTCTACAAAAAGGAGAAGACAAAATGATCCAGTGTACTGCTTTCTAATTTTTTGACACCTGTTGATTTACATTATATAAAAAGGTACCAGAAATGAAAGCTTATTAGAATGAATCCAATGCCTTCTCACTCTTTGGAGGAACCCCTCCCTGACTGACCATGTCTTTAGGGGTGTAGCTGTACTCATCACACTTGACTAATTGTGGGTTGGTGAGGTTATTTAGTTGGAGGTTTTGAATTCAGAGTTGTCCTCCTCCTAGACTGGCCACCACACAAGGACTGCTATATACTCATAGCTGGGTATTTTATATATATATATATATATATATATATATATATATATATATATATATATATATATATAGAGTAGGTATGAGATAGTGGTACTGATTGTCAGCTTGGAAAATAGAATCCGCTAATAAAGTTTATTTTCACCTCTCAGCTGCTGTTAAAATTGCTATAAACACTTTACTGTATGTCTCACTGATAATACCTTGATACAAATTTTTTAACATTAGCATAGTGTTTTACAAAGAGGAGATTAGGTGACTAAACATTTGAATAAATCATTCTCGTATAACTATGTTACTAACCAGGCAATAGTAACAGTAAAAATCTGTTGCACACATTTTCAACCCTGACAGATGACATTTAGTTATGTGTATGAAAATAGTATATATGATTGCATGAGTGGATTGATTGCTTTTCCAATAACCTTCAAGACAAACAAAAGCTGTAGTCATAGTGTTTATTTTTTATTAAGCATACTGAATAGTGTTAAATTGTCAGGTTAAGAGGCATTGATGGACAATGACAAATACAAAATACCATTGCTTGACAATTATTGCAGAACAGAAGATACAAGTTCAGCCATCAGAAAAAAAGCATGAAACAACAAGAAAGCTAAACTCAGGAAAAGTTGCTCAAGGCCACACCAATTATGATTTATAGTTTGACACAACTCTGCACTCTCTCTCACACACACACACATAATATTTAGGTATCAGCAAGTTCATCTAGGTATATTTATGTATTCAGTTATACTTACTGAAACAGCAAAGATAAGGATGTTAATCCAAATAAACCATGGAATTGTATATATTTTATTATTGACCTTCTTGTTCCATGTAGCAAATTCTACAGGGAATCAAGAGCATTGTAAGATTTTCAACATGGCTACAAAAAATGAATGCAACTCATCTTAGCAAATATAGGTAAGATGAGTTGCTGTAATTGAAAATGGGGTTAATGTTTTTTGTTTTTTTTTAATATAAAGACAAGTGCAGTATTTGTCTTAGAAACTATCAAGAATTTCTGTTTGGTTATAAAAAAAATATAAATAAAAATAAAACAATATATGAAAATGCAAATAAGTTCAAAATCTAAAATTTGTTTATCTAAAGATCAGACAA